TGTACTCGAATCGTGATCTCATCCGAGGAGTTTTAAACTTTTCCATTGGAGTGGCGGGTCCTTTGTCCTAATTTGATAACCTAGCGAAGCTTTTCCGGATATGTAAGCTGACGTCCAGCAACAGCGAAAGCTCCGTCAGAATCGTTAGACACCTTTCAGAGTGGTTTCGAATTACTAACGTTTTCCTATTGAAAACTAGTGAGCAGTCTCTTTATCGGCCCCATTTCATCCAGTACTGGGGTAGAGTCCTGTGAAGCATCTAAGTAAACAAAATGCTTCGAACCTTGCTGACTAAAAATTATGTGAATTCAGGATTTATATAACGCCAAGTTTCTGCGTTAAGCTGGTATCAACAAAAGAATAATTTCTCAGAAACCAAATTCGGCCATCAAAATAACCACTTCTTTTTGTAAATGTCTTACATGGGTGTTAAACTGTTTATTAAACGAATAAATTGTGTGCTATTAAAAGTCATAGCATTCTGGGTAAGCCAAACATAAAAATTGTCATTTTTGAGAAATTCATACAATATTTTCGCATTTAAAATTTGAAAGTTAAAGTGTAAATTACATTTACAGGCCTATTCTCACTGTTAGCGGTAAAGTAAATTTTGTTACTTTTCTTTGTCACCCGAAATTGAATTTGATATTCTGACGAACTGATCACAAAATTTGAAGAATTTGAAAAAAATTTGGCAGCACTGCTTTTTTCGTCCATGTCAAATTACATTTGCAGTTGATAAAGTAAAATGAAAAATATTCACATCGAAATGGAAGACGGTGCACAAAAAAACTAAAAAGTTTTATTAATTTGTTTATTAAATCATAAATATTTGAACCTAATTATGGAAAATATGATGGGACATCAAAAAAAAGCTGAATGAAAACGTTATCTTACAAATTAAAGGTCTATTTTTAAGTCTCGAAAACTTCTTAAAATACGGCTTTTCACACTTTTTTCTTCATCTGCAATGAATTCCAGGCTTAATATATGCCTACCTATTTTGGTTTTTTATTTTTTCTCATACTTACAACACAAAATCAAACAGCAGATATTTTTGTTACCTCCTATTTCGCTGGTAACAAAATTTACAGGGTAACAGTGAGCTCAGAAAACGAAATGGTAACAAAATTTACGCGAGTCTCTCAAGGATCGCAAAAAATCTTCTTCTGTCCTTGCAGTTGCCCTTTCGGATGAATTTAGTAAACCATTTATTGCTCGAACAGCTAGAAGAAGAGTTCTGGAAGCATGGTTAAAAGGATGTAGAGCCCGAAAGAAGCCGTGGCTCTCAGAAAAGAAAAGGAAACATCGTTTAGAATGGGCTCGGCGAGGGTCGCATGGACGGTCAGAAGTACATAAAAGTATTAGAAGCTGTTCTTTTGCCTTCGTTAACGCGTATTTTCGGCGATACTAATTTAGACAAGGTTCAATTTTTGCAAGACAATGCTCCTTATCACAAATCAGCGACTACGGTGAGTTGGTTTAGAGATAACAACACTGTGTTGTTAGATTGGCCTGCACAGTATGCAGATCTTAATCACATTGAGCATATTTCAAAACGCAAAATTAAGGAACACAGTATAACATCAAAATCTGTCCTTAAGAATGCCTAAATTAACGAGTGGTACTCTAACGGTGTACGCAACATGCCTAACAGAATTGCTGCCGTTATTAAATCCAAATATTGATGTTTTTATCAATAAATCATTGCATTTTCTCTGTTTTACAAATAAAACTTCATTACTTCACTTGTTAAAATAAAAAATTCAGTAATTAGTGGGGTACCTAATACTTTTGGCCAAGGCTCCATATTAAATTTTTATATCTACTTGTCCCAAGACGCCCATAATTTTTTTTTATTTACAATATTCTCATACATACGTATATAGTTTAAATTGTCATAAAAGCTGTGACAGTCCTTTGGAATTAACCTTTTCATACTTTGTAGTCATTATATTTTCTAGTTGGTACTGGTATTGAATTAGAATAAAAAGAAACAACAAAACTCTTTGTGGGGAAGCAGTTCATTCATATTTTAAGAATTTTATATCTGTGACTTGAGGATCGCATGTTTTAATGCCTGACATAACCGATTTATAAAATTGTATTCCAGAAAAGATTTTTAGAACTTGTGGTCTATTTTTTGTGGTCTATTTTATGTGGCTTTGAAGATGCCCTGGCGTCTCCGACAATCCGAACGAAGTCGGCAGGAACATATATTTCTTTGGACGTTTTTTCCTTTCCAACAGCTAATTGTTTTTGATAAATGGTGGTATTGTGTTTTATTGCCATTAATTGTAATGCAATGGAAATCGTAACGTTTCGGTTTTGCGCACTATCGCTAAAAAAAACTGTTGGGATGCTTAGATCAGAATGGTGTTCAAAAACATCATAAACACAGGAAAAGAAGACATTTGATTACATTCCTCCTTCTCCTATGTGTCAAAGGTAGCAAAAAAACTTCGGAAGTTTTTTTTTTAAAAATGTGAATTGGCGGACGCCAAACTTTTGCTTAAAATATACTGATGATTAGGGGCACTAATTTAACGGCTTGCTCATCTAATAAGTACGCTTTTATTTCATTCTTAAAGGCCGTTTCTTTATCGCCTTATTTTTATTTACAATGTGTTCCTTATGTACATTTTGACTAATGTTGCCGTTCTTGAAACTAAAGCTCAGATCACATTGATTTTTCTTGGTTTAAAAAAAAATGTTCTTAAGAGAATTAGTAATTTTCTAAAATGACAATACGAGGACTTTTCAATGAGCGGAATGCTTTCTTCAATGATATTCAATGCTTTAAAAATATCTTAACAAGAAATATATCTGAGGTATACATAAAGAGACTCTACCTGGGGAAAGCTTTAAAAAATCTTTTCAAATTATCTTGATTTCTTTCACTACCAGGCCCAATAGCTTCGCTTCTTTATCAAACCTGGAGAAAGCAGAAGTAACTGCGCGGTTATTGGGGCCGTTAATGTCAAAATCATCGGCGTACGCCAGTAATTGTACACTCTTATATAATATTGTACTTTCACTATTCAGCTGTGCAGTTCTTACTATTCTCTCCAGCGTTAAATTGAAGAAATCACATGATAAAAAGTAACCCTGGTTTGGTACCGAACAGTTCGGAGAGGTCGTTTCCAATTCTGATTGCGCTTCTGGTGATGTCTAGCTTCTGTTTTCACAGCCGCGGGTAAACCCAATTCAGACATAGGGCAGATTTCTTTCGCTTTAAAATCGAGTATTTTCTAAGATTTGACGCATGGTGAATATCTGGGCAATGGTTGACTTACCAGGTCTAAATCCACACGATTATTCGCGCTGAACTCACTTGAATTCCAATCGCCGTGTATGCTTTAGTCCATGTTCGAATAGTTCTGCCGCTTCGTTGTTCTTTAGGCGGGCAATCGTTTTTCGAACTCCGACATGGGCAGGAATCGGGACGTCTGTTCCAACGACGCCGTTTGGAACTCGGGGTTCTCCATGTCCGGTTTTAAAACCTTTCCTAAGTCACCTATCTTTTCGTAGAGATTTCAGGTATTACCCTTCTTGACCAGCTCCTCAAGCTCTGCATACTCACGCATTTCGACGTCCTTCTTTTTCTGTCTGCAAACGCATCTTGTTCTCCGCTTCAGGTCCCGATATCAATCCCGCCTCGCACGTAAGTGATCGATCGGGAAGTAGGTAGTATGTCTCTATACTGCAGTTCGATGTTGGGTCTTTTGAGTCAAGATCACTGGAGACATATAATCCGCCTATAACAACATGATCGATCCAGTTTTGTGTTTTTCGTTTTGGAGACAGCCAAGTAGCTACTTGATTTTTCTTGTAATAGAATCTTGTGGTGTTACAAACAAACAATATTTTGGGTACCGGCGAAAGCAGTCAGCCGCAACTCGTTTGGGGATGTTTCGTCACGGAGACTGAATTTTCCGACAGTTGTGCCGAAGATACCTTCTTTGCCCACCCTGGCGTTGAAGTCGCCAAGCACCATTTTGACTCGGTGGCGGGCGTGACAGCGAGGTAACAAAGATCTTAGGCCAAATCGTTCTTCATTTCCCTAGGGGAGTGGGCGAAAATCAGCGTGGTGTTAAATAATTTCTCTTTGATGCGGATTGTGGCGAGACGTTCATTCACCAGAGTGAATGCACTCGGCGACGTAGTCTCTCACGACAAATCCCACACTAAATTGGCGCTCCTTTATATGATTGCTACAGTAAGGTCATAGGAACATACTCGTTTTCGTCCTTTTCCCGTCGATTGCGCTTGGCGGTAATGCCAGACTTTAATTTTATTTGGACATCTACTAGCTGGGCAGCGACACCTTCCAAATTAAGGGTTCTGGGTGCATGCCCTCAAATCATAATCCTTAAAACATTTGCGGGGGTCGTCGTCAAAAGGTGAGGGGCACTCAAAAAATCTCCTCGGCTGCAGGAACTTATACACATGGTTCCATCTCTGTAGTTTTAGACTTGGTAAATCCACCACTTATGAAATATTTACCATGAGCCAAAAAAGGGGAGTTAGGAAAGGTTCATGTGTTTTTTTCAACTTTAGTTGGAAGAAATTATTAAGACCTGCAGAGCTAAACGGAAAAAGTACAGGGTATTGTACAAAAATGTGCAATTGTTGACATATGATGATATTGACATCATTTGCGTCACCTTTGAAGTCGTGGATGATTTTTTCTATCCAAGGTTAAGCTGTACCCCTAAAAGAATTTTCGCCTTTAAATCCAACGCTGAATCACTCTCGTCAAGACTGCCACTTACGATTGAGCGGACAATTGAAAAGTAAAGTCCTCTCTTGATGAACAAAGGCCAAACTCTAAAAGTCGCACATCATTCCTGTTCTTCTGTATAATGCAGAAGGGTGAGAGACATTTTTCGGCGGAAGACACCGGCAGCAACATCCGAGAATAAAGAGCTAGCGTTTACGTTGGCATGTAATAATGTCCGATGCAGTAATGGAGAAGGGCTTTGCTTCGTTTTTCATTTTCAATTGGCACCGATTTTCATTCTTCTTGATTCACCACCAGTATTTCCTGGAAAAGAGAACAAAGTACAATAAGTAGTTATTACCACAATAATATTGTATATGTTTTGAGGTGACGAACAAGGTAAGACAGAAAAAGTCTATAGAAAAATTATGTGTTATCAAAAGGTATTTTAAAGTTGTTCTTTGGAGCAGGCACTTATCAATTGATCCTCAAGAAACTTCCCATGTACTCAAAACACTGAGACTCTCAGTAATGGGCATTTGGAATTTCCAGCACAGGTCACCAAAAAAGCCTATGTCCATGATCAGAGTTGGACTCACGTCGAGCTAAAACAAGAAAGAGATGCCAGGACTGAAACATTTACTTCACTCGAAAACTGCATATAATAAAAATTTAATTCAAGAGGAAAATCTCAGATTTTTTCCAAATGTTGTATGAAGCATTGGAAACAAACAAACAATTAGTATTAATCAAAATTAAATGTATTATTTATGTAGGTGAATTTAGATTACTTTTAATTTTTCCTTGAAATATCATCTTCAGAAGTTAGAAAAGTTACCGTTTTCATCCAAAAATATAAACCGTTCTATAGGTTTTTGATTAATTGTTAGCATTAATAAAAAGGAAACGTATAATAAATGTGGGTGAATTTAGATGTCCCTTAATTTTTCCATGAAAAATCGTCTTCAGAATTTAGAAAGTTGCCGCTTTCTTCAAAAAATATAAACCGTTCTCAAAAATGTTGTATAAAATCTACATATAAGATCAAGTAAAACGTTCGTTCGGTTTTTTTTTTATTGATTTTTCAAAATATTATAACTTTGTGTACAGCTGTAAGCTTAAGCCAACGATTTCATTATATCCCTCTCATAGGCGGCTGCGTCCCTATTGGCGAAAAACTCTTAGAGCCAATTTTCACAGGCCTCTTTTGGGGCCAACTTCTCACCATTAAGCGCGTTCGCCATGCACCTCCCATCCGAGCTCCTGAAGTTTCTGGCGCGTCACCAAAGACGTGTGTGGTCTGGCGTCGTCCTGATGAAACACAATTTGGTCCATTTGTTGGCAGTAGAGGACCGAATTGAGCGTTTGGCTATAGAGGAGCAGCTCGGAGTATATGATTTCTTGCCAATCCCACCAAATACACTGCAAAATAGCAAAACCTTCCTGGCCGTCATTTCGGTCTTGGCCACCGTCTGGGACGCTTCCATGAGCTTTGACCACGACTGTTTGCACTCGATGTTGTCGTAAGTGGCCCAATTTTCTTCGCCAGTTACAATCCGCTTCAGAAACGGGTCGATTCTGTTGCGATTCTGCAGAGATTTGCAGATTTAAATGCAGTCGATCATGTTTTTTTGCGTTAGTTCGTGTGGCACCCAAACATCGAGTTTCTTTTTTAATCTCAGGTTACGCAAATGATTCCAATCGATTTTCTGGATTAAATATAAATTCTTTGATATACCCTTATAATAAGAATTGTATAATATAATAAAACATGTAATACATTCTCTGTGTCGTTATTGTCTACAACCAGAGTTACAATTTCATTTTCTTTTCATCACCTCGTGCCAATCTTTCTTTCCCTGTAGCCCAAGGTTCGTTTGCTAAACGATGGCTAAGCTAACAAAAACCAATCTAAAAATCACAGCCCTCGAGCGGGCACGGTAGATCCCATTTCCGCGCCTGCTTATATTAAACTGTATAAAAAAATCAGCAAACAAATCTAAAATTAATCTAATGAACTTGTCAATTTCAGTCGTGTCTAGTAATCAAAATATAGTGTGTGTTAGCGTTTATTTGCGATAGCGAATAAAGAAGCGGGTAAAGAAGCGGATTGATGCGGATAAATAAAAAAACACGTCCGATTCGTTTTAGAATATTTAATAGAAGGGAAAAAGCTACCATGTTAGGTTTGGCAGCACTGTATGTTAGCTGTCAAACTTGACCATAAGTAAATACAATAAGCTCGGTTTACATAAACTAGTTTCAGCGCCAACATGCCGGCTGCCTTGAACAACTGTTCAAAAATTATTCAAAATGTTACAATAAATTCAATGCAAAATACTTAAATAGTAAAAATGTCTCACTTCGTCGGTAACAACGATAATTTCACGATGGGTCGTAGTAACTCTCCTTCGGATGTCTTCAAGTTGACAACACTCACACACCCATCTACACCGGGGTGACTGTCGAGTACTCGACCAAGTTTCCACTTTGTGGGAGGCGCATTGTTGTCGTGTATGACTACTATATTCCCTCCTTGTAGATTTTGGGTAGGACGAAACCACTTTGCACGCCGCTGTAGATTAGCGAGATACTCGCCACGCCATCTCTTCCAAAAATGCTGTCTTATAGCTGATATGATTTGCCAGCGTTCGTGGAGCGTTCCTTTAAAAACTTGCAATTCTGGATCAGGTATACCTTTCAATGGTTCTCCTACGATGAAATGGCCAGGTGTTAACACCTCACAGTCATTGACGTCAGAGGATAGATAACAAAGAGGTCGAGAATTTACGCAAGCTTCGAATACCAGGAACCCAGAAACGGCGCTGCATTGCGGCTTGAATCATTTGAGGACCAGCGTGTAACATGGTAATGTGGAGTTCAGCAGCGATTAACCTTGCGAGGGACGATCTTTTCGGCAATATCATCGGGTTTCGAATATCATTGGAGCACGAAGCGTTCTTGATGCGACCACCAACTCGGAGAATGCCTTCGGCATCTAGGAACGGTTGAAGACGAACAAGACTACTGCGCATAGGTATAGGCTTACTTAATCTGCAATTAGAAATTTCTGGTGCAAATACATTAGTTTGAGAATACCTCACCAATTTAACCTCAGCCTCCGGATTTCGTCGGTGGTTAAATGACCCAATAATCGCGTTGTTCCGTTATGTTGCCGAGAAGATAACCGTAAGTTATGAATGAAACGAATCACATATGCGGTAATTCTTTTGAGTTTGTTGTAGGAATGAAATCTAGTTAACAAACTCCACTCATCAACGGTATGCGTTACATGCGATGTCGTCTTGCCAGGTTTTTGCTCGAGGTCCGTATTATGTTGAACAGAAGGTTTACACCAAAAGCGATCAGTTTTACGAAGCCAGTTCGGTCCCGTCCACCACAACGGATGAGTGATTAACTGTGAGGGATTTATGCCCCGCGACGCACAATCTGCGGGATTAAGCTCAGAAACGACATGTCTCCATTTTGATGCCGGTAGGACCTCTTGTACATCCGCAACACGATTTGCCACAAATACTGACCACCGGCTCGGCATTCCTTGCAACCACGCCAGCGTTATCATGGAGTCGGTCCACGCATACAGATTTTCGAGTTTATGGCCAAAACTTGTTTGTATTTGGCGAACTAACCTTGCACCTAAATGAGCCGCACAAAGTTCCAAACGAGGTAGCGACGTCGTTTTTAGAGGCGCTACCCTAGTTTTCGCAGCGATCAACACAACTTTCACCTCGTCTTTATCTGTTTTAGTACGGCAATAAATAGCGGCAGTATAAGCAGCCTCCGATGCGTCAGTGAAGACGTGGAATTCCTCGTCAGCACTCGAGCACATACCAAGCCAGCGACTTATCTTGAGCTTTGAGAGTAGCTGCAGTTCACGCCTATATGTTAACCAGTCAGCCGCAACTTTAGGCGTAACCAACTCGTCCCAATCCACATTCGAGCGCCAAATCATCTGCAACCATATTTTTGAGCGAATAGTGCAGGGGGCGATGAGTCCAAGCGGGTCGAAAATCTTGCTGGAATCGGAGAGGAAAATTCTCTTCGTCAACTTGTTGGGCAGATCTTCTAAATTAAATGCGATTGATAGCGAATCATGATCTGTATGCCAAATACATCCCAGAGTTCTAATGTCATT